AAGTTTTTGGCGCCGTTGCCGGGGACTTTCTAGATTATTAGGAAAGGCAGAAGTTTGTTACTTTAGCATTTTTCTTTTCTTTTCCACCCTTGCTTTTCACTTGGGTGTTTTTTTTGTTTTTGTTGGTGCAGATCTGAATCATGGATCCTCATGGCTTCTCCAACCATTGGGGGTATCCACCACCATCCGAGTGGTATTACCGCGAGACTCTCTGGAGAAATCAAGGAGGAGAAGACTATGGATTCGGGTTCCAGTACCAACCCCCTTACTAAGGAGAACAGTCAGACCCCTGGGCATATCTAGAACAATCTCATTATCAAGAAGACTTTCTCCCACAACCAGAAGGGCCATCAGAGCTGGAGTTAGCCATGGAGGCCTTCACGGGCCACTCTGCAGAGCCATGCTACACTTCACTGGAGGATCCGAACGAAAAATTAAGGCTTCTCGTGGAGCAGTTTGCTCGAGACACTGAGAAATCATGCTCTAAGATGGATCTTCAAATCAAAGCCCTTGCCACTTTCGATCCCTCATTTCTCCATGATATGGATGAGACTGTTCAGCGCTCAGCGAAGCAAACAGAGTGGGTGAAGCAAGTTTGCTCGCATCTTGCCCAAGATTACCTTTCTGCTACCACGCTAGAAGAGGTGGAGGATGACAAAGGCTATGGGAGCGTTGAGGAGCATACAGAAGTTATCACAGGGAACCCCCATGATAATCATGATCAGGAAAGTCCTTTGGTTGCAGACCACACCTTTCCTCATTTATGCTCTAACATGCTGGGCCCGTGCGAGGAGATGCAAGATGATCCCATTGAAGAAATTGCTTGGCGACTTGTTCTCCAATCTGTTCTAGAAGAAGAAGAGCGAGCAAGGATGAGGAAGGAAGTTGTGGATGATTAGGAAGAAAGAAAAGAAGAGGTGGTTCTTTATCTTTTCCCAGGGGAGAGACCACATTTTGAAGAAGAAAGGGGGGTTGAGGAAGCAATTGGTGTCCAGGCTGAGGATGAAGTTGAGGTGGAAGAGGCTTGCACCGGCCCTATGTTACATTTGATATCTCCACCAAACTTTGAGGAGCTACTTGGTAAGGACCCATTTGCAGTGTCTCTTTGCCAGACCAAGGCCACATCGACATTGGCCCCTCTCGGTGGACGCGATGGTGGCCAATCGATGCTGTCATATCTGGTTTGGGGCAATGAGACGAGAGAAGAGAAGAAGAGGTCTCGAGGGTGGAGACTTCATCTGCATCAAGTACATGAGCCTTCATCACCTGCCACACCACATGCTCGTGACTTGAGATTCCACCTCATCGACGAGAACCTCAACTTCAAGGAGGTTCTAGCATGGACCAAAACATAGGAGCCATCGTCCGGCTCACGACGTGAAAGAAGCGCTTATTGGGAGGCAACCCAACCAGTCGGTTTGCATTTCTTTCTCTATTTCTCCTCGGTTGAGTCAGTTTTGCTATTTGATTTTAGAGTCAATAACTCAACCTTTGTAAGATTTTGTGTGGTGTTTGTGTTCTGATTACTCTCTCTTCCTGGAATGCACTGCCTGACCCGTACATCATCATTCACCCTTGATCTGGTAACTTCGTTCTACCCTCCTTATCTTTCCTCCATTGGGGACAATGTCGTGCTTAAGTGTGGGGGGGTGTTCGATTATGTATGCGGGTGAATGTTTGGCTGTTTGTGTGCTTGGAGCCTAGTTCACTGTCCAAATTTTTAAATGTGAGGGCTCCAAGTATGTGTTTCCTTGCAAATTGCCTGCTCAGTATGCTTTGAATTAACAGTCTCTATAGTAATGTGTAACCTAGGGAGGTAGTGTAGCACTATGGAGGATGTTGAAGTATAAGATTTTTCCTATCTAGCTCTCTGTTGTGCCAGTTGATTTTGTGAATTAGTGGAGCTAAGACCGTTGAATTCATGTGGTAATGGTGACTCTGTTTGGATTATGTTATGGACTCGTGTATCGAACAGGGTGCTCATATGGAAAATGGGAAGCAGTTGGTCCTCCATGTCAAAATCATTAAATCTTAAACATGGGGTAAGCCCAACGTGTGCGGCACCGTTCATTGCACAAAATCGGGTTTTGGAAGAGATTTTAGTGATCCTTAGTGGGGTACTCCTACAAGGTGAAGCTAAGTTGTCTCTAGTACAAGTAAAACTTCCACCCGTTGAACGGTTTGCCTACTTGAGGATGTGTTTTTAAGGGCACGGATAGAGCTTCCGACCCCCCTTAATTTCATTGACCCTCCACACGAGTTGAGGAAAAGGAGTTAAAAGAAGTACTCTGGCGAGCTCCAGATGTACAGAAATTGCTCTTGCTCGACTAATAAGGGTCGACCGTGCAAAAGACTGCAGTTGGAATCCCACCAAATGAAAGAAAAAATGTAAATGAAAGTGAGAAAAAGGGGTTCCAACGGTGAAATGAAGTGAAAGAGCACCCCGGTACAACGAATCCTTGGTTGTGAATGGTGTGAGTCCCTTTATCCATGAATTGACTGTCTTACTTCTACTTTTTCTCATGATCCTGGCTTGAGTCTAGTACTCGCATTGAGAGAGATAGGGAACGTCTTAGAAGACCAGTTGACCTCGTAAGCTGCTATATGATCTAGGAAATCCTCTACCGACGATCGGGGTTGTATGTTGCTATAGAGCTCTGGAGAGCTGCATTGGTTTGAGTTAGGTTTGCTTGGAGACAAGCAAATAGTTAAGTGTGGGGGGATTTGATGACTCAGTATTTGCACATGTTTTCTCCTTTGTTTCTTGATTGTTTGAGCTTTAATTATCGTGTCTTTGGCCTATTTTACGCTAGGTTGTGTTCCTTTGTCACATTTCAGGTCCTAGCACATAAAGTGAAGCATAGGCGCTAGTTTCAAGTCAATCAGAGATCAATTGACGATTCGGGAGAAGAAACTCGGGTATGACCTGAAGAAGAATGGATTTCTACCTCACTTTATGGACAAAGAATCATGAAAGCTTGTCATGAAAAGAAAGAGGACGAGACTACGAGCATCTGGGATCAAACGGCGACTGATTCGGAGTCCGGACGAGGGAGAAACGAAGCATTAAACAGAGGCTGAGCAAGCCACACGGGCACAACCCACACGGTGTGACCTGGCCATGTTGCCGTGTGGAAATCACCGAGCTTTCACACGGGCAGCTGGGAAAGCCACACGGCCGTGTGGCCTGGCCGTGTGAGTCGGGAATTGCTGTTTAAAACCCGATTTTCAGCAAAAGGAAAGGAGGAGAGCTGGGTTTTGGATCACAAACACCCAAGGGACGAACCCTAGAGAGAGAGAGAGCGACTTAGGAACATTCTTGGAGCTATTTTGGAGGATTTCTTCGCCATTGGAGCTCGGGAATCAAGCTTGGAGATGGAGATTGAAGATCTAGATCAGATTTCTGCAGTCTCTCTCTTCTCTATGGAGTAACTTCCCTTCACTTAGGTTTTGAGGAACCTTAGTTCCATGAGTTAGGATCTTGCTTGTATGAAGTTTTGGATGCTATATTGTTTGATTTTAATCGAATGATGCATGTTTATTGAGTCAATTGAAGTCTGATAAACTTTTCCTGATTCCTGCTGCAATCTGAGATAGATAGAATCTGATTAGGTTGCTAGAGTCTCATCATTCGGTATTAGGAGATTGGCTATACGGGAGTTAGCCAGTTTACTGCTTTGTACTGGAATCCAATTCCAGTAGTGGAGTTCTGTGCTTATTGCTTCAGCTTTCTATCCCGGTGAAGACTAGTCGTCTGCCGGATAGTTAGACTGAGAGGGCTTGGTCAGCTTAAGAGATTCCAAGCTACTGTCGGATCTTCCGCAGTTTAATCAACAGTAAATCAACCAAAAGGAATTACAACTTGAACCTAACTAAGGCGCTAGGGGGAATCATACCTAAGTGAGTTCCCAAATTGTAATTAGTAGTTTTACTTAGTTTAGTTAGTAGAGTAGTTTAGTTAATCAATCCTTAATCTAGTCTGCTAGATAATGAACTGAAGCTGAGTAATAGTAACTCTAGAGACCCGTGGATTCGATATTTATTACTTGTGCCACTATACTGCAGTCCCTTTCATTGGTTACACTTGGCCATTGTTAGGTGTTGTGTTTTAGAGCATCAAAACCCCACTCTTTCCAAAAGTAAAAATGACTATTTTAACCTTGGAAAATTTTTTTCAATATCTATCGTATTATTTAAGGAATTTCAAAATGTGAACTATCGGTTCGAACGGTGTCGAGTTTCGATTTAAAATAGCGAAGTTACGATCGTAATATGAGCTTTGGATCAAAACCCTATCAATCGAGTGGGCTGGCAGGAGTTTTCAATAAAGAAAAGCTGGGTGGCTAATAGGCCGAGTGGGAGCCAAGTCGGGCTCAAGCCCAGCCCGCTACAATTATAAAAAAAAAGAGAGAGAGAAGAGAGCGAGAGGGCCAGCTAGTGGTCTGAAGAAGGAAGAGCGGGCTAGAGGCCCAAAAGAGGAAGTAGAAGAAGCCTTTGGGCCGGTGACCCATCAACAGAAGAAGGAGAGAGGGCATGGTTCCGATGAAAGGCCGGGCAAGGCGTCACCGGGAGGAAGAGAGGAATCATTTTCCTCCAGGACTCGACAGTGAAAACGGAAACAAAGAGGCGGGTGCACACGATTAGGGAAGCTAATCAGGCAGTAACGAAAATGGGATGTGTCAATTAGCGTTGGTGTCATTAATTGTGGGGATTTACTGTGACTGTTGGGTACATGGGAGAGAGGAGTAAAGAGGTAAAAGAGGAAAGCCTCTCTGTTTCTCCGACTCCAAAACAGAGGTCGAAGTGCAGAAAGAAGGAGGAGCTCGGGTGCGGTCTGAACGCGGGTCTAGGATTGAGGATTCGACTCGAGTAGGAAGAGGAGGGAGGTGGATCCAAAGTAGAGTGGTGAACCGTGGACGCAAGAGGGGGACCAGAGGTTCAAGGACGACCAGGGTAGGAACCATTTGTTTCGACTCCAACGTTGGCGTCGATCTCGACGTCGGTAGAGAAAAGGACGACTTGGCAGCAGAGAGGCAACGAATTTACCCACTAAAACTGCCTGGATTTTGGGTTGTTCGAAGCTGGCCACCGAACTGTGGGCCGAGGAGGTGAGATCGAGTTATCACAGGCAACGACAGAGCTTACAGCGGCGGCGACTACTGGGGAGTCGATGTCAGGGGAAGAAGAGGAGGAGCCGGAGGAGCTTGGCGGCAATGGACTCAAGGAGGATGAAGGTGACGATGACGGATGGACCCGGGTGTCCGGGAAGGTCGACGTCGGCAGTGCAGAGGTAAGCCTCGCCTCCTATAATTGGGGAGTTCATTGGCATTTCAATGGAAATTCAATTAGAAGTGAGGGGCAAATGTGTCTTTTGGGAAGCAAGGGTAGTTTGGTAAATTTTGGAAAGTTTGGGCATTAATATGTAATTTACCAGGTTAGGAGTTAGTGCGTAAATAGTAGTTGTTGGAGTACCTGATGGAAATAAGTCAATTGGACGGAAATATTGAAATAAGAAAGTGGGAATTGGTCTGTTGGACAGAATTGGACCATTTTGAAAGTATGGGGCAGAATTGGTGAAACTCAATAGGTGCCGTTAACATTATGTAATTTGCTATTTTGGGGAAAAAGATCATTTTCCAAAATTTCATGGGGAATCCTAGGAAAGGTTAAATGGAGGAATTTGGGATTGAAATTAACCAAATTGGAGGTCATTTGGCTAGTTACGCTAAGAGAGAAGTGAATTAAGTTTTCGTCTAAATGTTTAATAGGAAGAACAAAAGGAGGTAAAGAGCGGGGAGTTTGAGCGTGGAATCTCGGACGATGACCTAGGTTCACCGGCAGCAAAGGGGGTCGTATCGATCGATCAAGGTCGGCTAATGAGGTGAGTGTAAAGGTGTAAAATCTCTGTCGAGGTCTTTTTAGTTTATGCTTTTCGTTACAAGTTATTATTTAGTTAATTTTTAAGTTGTGTGTGATTATGTGCGTGAGGCATCTCACTGCCTACTTAAGGTGGAGGCACGCATTGTGCTATGCATATGAATTTGTCTGTTGATGTATGGTTAAATGGTAAGATGAACCCCCAGGCGGTTGGGCCACTACTGGACGCGGTAGATGGTCGGGTCACTACTGGACGACGCTATATAATGCAGTAGTTGACCAGACATGGACTGGACGACGATACGTAACTTAGCACCATTGCCTTGAGAATAGGGACACTGAACGGCGGTACGTGACGCGGTGGACCCTAGTAATAATTATATAAGTTAAGATAGAAGTAGAGAACTTCTATAGTTTATTAAGGACTAAAGTGTTAAGGATGAAAGCGATAACGGCTTTCATGTAAGATAGGAATGTTATAATAATGTGTTAGTAAGGTTTGCTTAGGAAAAGACCTTATGAAGTAACGATGAGACTAACCCCTTCTCACTCACCAGGTTGAGGAAGGGTTAGCGGATGAGGATTCTTAGAAAAGGCAAGACGATGCGAGCAACCGCACCACCATTGACGAGATGACAATGAGCTAAGTGAGGAGTTAGAGTTAGACTTGTGTAGTTTTTATTGTTTCATGATTATGAGTATATACTGGAGGTTCAAGGTTCAAAGTTATGTTGTTTTATTGACTAAAGATTGAGGCTGCCCAAGTGTTTAGGGAATTTTATTTGAAAATGATATCGTTGTATTCGTTTTAATGAAATTTGAGTCTTATTTTTAATCGGCTATGGAGCCATGGTTATTTCAGTTTGGTCAAAAGGATCGGGACATTTCAAATTTACTAAAACAAAGTGCAACCTAGCGTAAAACCACACCTCACGGAGTACAAATGCATCAAAAGCCGAAGAAAAACGGGGATAAAATGTGTACAATTAGACCCAAATCAGAAAGCTTCACTGGGGTGTTGCTCCCCCTATCAAAATTAGTCAAATAGTATGCAGGTGTGTGGAAAAGTGGTTGTAAACCGTAAGAGAGCGCAACTAGTGGAGAAGCTCCGCTCTCTTGGTCGATAGACCAAGGGATATCAAATCAAGCTAACGAATTAGTTTTCTTGGCCAAATGACTAAGGGTTGCCAAGGCTTCTCCCTCGGACCTTAATCCGGACGGAAAATCAACAACCAACTCAAGCTGTTAAAACATAGTATGAGGTTTGCCTTGATTCGACCTAAGTAGGTGACTCAAATTGGTCAGGAATTCTAGCTTATAAAAGCTTCTTAGCAAGATGAGGATTTCCCTTTACCCAGGTCAAATTGGTATAATAATTAGAAATCGAGAACAAAACTCAAACTTCATGAAAATAACTCAATACTTCCATTAAAGCACAACACACACACAAAACATTCAATTCATACAATCTTCAGATAGTTCTAGCTAGGGTTTACAACACCCAAGTGAAAGAAGTGGACTACTCCATGCTTAGATTAGTGAATACACAAAGGAGAAGGGAAGAGACCATCTTGAGGTGTTTGCCTTCTTCTTTTGGTGTAGAGATCAACCCAGATCGAGCGCGTTTCATGGTCCCAGTTCACGGTCGTGAACTTGAAGCTTGGACTGTGATTTGAGCAAAATTGAGCCGGTTTATTTAGGGTCTTCACAGTCTCTAGGGGATTATCTCTGTCTCACGACCATGATATCTCTTAAGTACGCGAGGCTCAAAAATGTTCATGATCTCCTTATACTTCACGGTATGGACCTCTTTATCACGGTTGGGTTGACCTTGAACATCAGACTTCCATCGTGATCCTCGGTTGTTTGCTCCCTTCGATCCGTTTTCGTCCTTTTTCGTCCAACTTTCACTCCCAAGGCCAATTATACCTGCTCGGATATGAAACATACTAAAAACAAGTACACCCTAGCGTAAAATCGAACCTCATGAAGTAAAAATGCCTCAAACATCTCAAGAATATTAGGAGAAAACATGTGCCATTTGATCCGAATCACTCCCCCACACTTGGATGTTTGCTTGTCCTCAAGCAAACCAATCTCAAACAAGGTAAAATCTCAACCTAAACACAATGAATTGTGGACATATCAAAGGGCTCAAAGTGGATGAATCTCAATGGTTTTTGGGCATCAACATATGGACAATTCACAAGCAACACAAACAACATTCGAATGCATCAATACCGGCAAGCACCATAAACAACATTCGAATGCATTAAGAACTTGTAGACGAAAAGGTCTCACTCTATTCACAAACCAACACATGCCTTGACAAGACTACTCACCAATCACAATTATCCATGCATAGAGATCAAGTCCAAGGAACAAACGAATGAGTGCTATGTCCTCACTGGGATCAAATACGAACATGCAAAATGTGAATGAATCACTCACTCTAGACCACTAGGGTTAGGACAATTTGACAAAAAAGATGTGCATAATCAACACTCAACCCTATAGTCTCTTCATCATGACGGTAACCTCTAAATGTTAGAGTTCACAAGATGGTTTTCGTCACTAGCTTGTCTGAAGGTCTTAGACATGGGTTCAAATGACTGGTTATTTTCTTGGACATGGGAAAAAGACATTATGGGTGGTGGTAAGCAAAGCATGAGGTTCCACATCTTTAACCGAAAACCAACACAAGGTCCTATTGTTTTTATTTGGACCTTCTCGTACAAACAACAGCCAAAAACCACACTTCCCTTCTTCCGAACCATAACCAATCATGATTGACATTCAAGCACACTTTCTCGGCTACACCTGTTATCCAACTTTCCAGCATAGTAGTGCAGGAGGTCAACAAACCAATAGGTATTTCAATAGCTTAGGTGTCAAGAAACAACTTTCTAAGAACAATGGTCACCATTAAGAACTTCAATGGAACTCAAGTGACGAGAGCTCCAAGACATAAGGATAACTCACAATGGTTTAGACACTATGAAATCAAAGGATAACTCTATGAATCTCAATTAAGATCAAGTACCAAAAGCACCCACAATGAGAATGAACCAAAGTCACATGACTCAAAAGGGTTGACTAGGGGATATAACGATCGAGACAATCAACTTTTGGGGAGTGGACTAATCCTATGCCTCCATCTTCCTTGCTAATGACAACGTGAATGCTACACATCATGGTAAGAGGGATCTATCACACATGAAAAAGACGATCGACACAAATCTCACATGGCTACCTAGCTGCTCAATCATCCATTCCAATTTCAAATATTTTGATGCATGGCAATTGCAATTAATGAGTACTCAAGTTAAGGAATCCATCTATTTTTGCACATATGAGAACTAAATACTTGCACCAACCTAATGCAGTTCTCAATCATCATAATAGGATGCACTCGATCACAATTAAACAATCCAAAGACAATGCCAATAAACACAAGATTCTCCACAAACTAGTCATTTTCATAAAGCATTCACTCACATTCGTATGCCAATAAAAAATGATACACTCTCCCACACTTAAGCACGACATTGTCTTCAATAGAGAATAAGGGTAGGATGAAGAAGTTACCGAATAATGGCAAGTGAAAGTTGGACATAGACTGGGGTAGGAAATTTGGAAGCTTCAAAAAGAAGAAGTAAACACAATCAAACACACAAACATTCTTGCTCAACGCGAGGTTATTACACGTAACAATATCCAACATCACGATTAAAAGAAGAAAAGTCACAATAGTGTTGGGTTGCCTCCAAACTACCGCTACTTTAACGTCTTAAGCTAGACTAAGCATTCATACTAGATATCTTGCAGGAGAAGCACCTCCTTTTGTGGCATTACTCACCTCCAAGGTAACGTTTGAGGCGGTGACCGTTCACTTTGAATCTCACTTGCTCCCCCGGTTGGAAATCTTTGTCCCCTTTTAGTCGGGCATTCGTGCATGTGCTTTTTTTCTTCCTTGTAAACCTTGGTGTTCTCATAAGCGTGAAGAAGCCAGTCCTCAAGTTCCAGCACCAGCAAATTCCTTTCATTCCCCCACACGGTTGGGTCCATATTCAACAACTTAATATCACAGAAAGCCATATGGTCTAACTCCACAAGCAAATGGCCCGCTTTATCATACACCAATTGATAAGGTGAGACACCAATTGGCGTCTTGTAGGTCGCGTGATATGCCCTTAGAGCATCATCGAGCTTAGTGGATCAATCGTTGCGGGATCAGTCCACTGTCTTTTCAAGTATCCTCTTCATTTCCATATTTGACAACTCTACCTCACCGCTCGTCTGAGAGTGGTAGGCCATGGAGATTCGGTGGGTGATACCATAACGATCGAGGAGTTTGACAAATTTCCCTTGAAAGTGCGTCCCTCGATCACTCATGATGGCCCTCATGGTTTTAAAACGTGAAAATAGTTTCTTAAGAAATCCGCAGACTCGCCTTGCATCATTGGTGGGTAGAGCTTCAGCCTCAACCCACCTCGAGACATAGTCCATAGCCACTAAAATGTACTTGTTTAAAAAAGATGAGGGAAAATTACCCATGAAATCAATACCCCAGACGTCAAAAGATCTCGCAAGTAATGGAAATCGTTTGGGGCATCTCATTGCGGTTAGGGATGTTACCTGTCCTTTGACAATTATCGCATTGTAGCACGAATGCATAAGCATCCCTGAACAATGAAGTCTAGTAGAATGCGAATTATAGCATCTTTCTCGTCCTACGGTTGTCCCATGATGCCCTCAATTCGTCCCCTCGTGTCATTGGCTAATAATAGCCCTCATTTCTCTTTCTGGGACACACCTCCTAATTATCCCATCGGCTCCAATCTAGAATAGGCGAGGATCATCCCAGAAGTAATATCAGAGGTCGGTGAAGAAATTCCTTCTCTCATGAATACTCATCGCCTTTGGAAATTGCTTTTCGACCAAATAATTGGCGACGTCGGCCAACCAAGGGGTTGCACTCTCCACCATTACAAGCACGAACGATCTCTCGTCGAGGAAGGAGTCATTTATCTTCCCTTGGATGGTGCTTCCACATGGGCCTTCGAGTCGAGAGAGGTGGTCCGCCACTACGTTCTCGGCTCCTTTCTTGTCTTTGATTTCCACATCGAACTCTTGGAAAAGCAAGATCCACTTGATTAGATGGGGTTTGGTGTCGATCTAGCTCATCATGAATCAGATGGCGGAGTGGTCGGTATAAATAATAACTTTCGAAAGAAGCAAATACGACCGAAACTTGTCGAAATTAAAGATGACCGCCAACAACTCCTCCTCCATAGTTGTGTAGTTCTCTTGAGCCCCGTTCAACGTCTTTGAGGCATATCATATGGGTTGAAAGTGCCTACCCCTCCTTTTCCCTAACACCGCTCCCACTACATAGTCAGTTGTGTTACACATACGCTCAAAAGGGAGGTTCCAATCCAAAGAAACCATGACCGGGGCTTGATGAGCCTAGCCTTGAGAATGTTGAACGGTTCGAAGCATTCCTTTGTGAAGATGAATGGTGCGTCCTTCTCAAGAAGCTTCATCAATGGTGAAGCGATCTTCGAGAAGTTTTCTATGAACCAATGGTAGAATCTGACATGCCCGAGGAAACTCTTAACCCCTCTACCGACGTTGGTGGTGGGAGCTTGCTTATGGTCTCATCGCTTTGTCAAATTCAAAACTAGATTAGTTTCTTAACACCGTGCAAGAACCTTCTCAAGATTAGCCAGACACCGAGCAAATGAATCCCCAAATACAAAGAAGTCATCCATGAACACTTCCATGATTTCTCCCACAAGCTTGTCAAAGATAGCCACCTTGCATCTCT